TATTTTTGTTTCAAAGCTTTGCAGGTTGAGTTCTGTGGCACGATTCAAGCTGTTTCAAAACAAACCAAGCATTGGAAAAGCTTCCTTGGACCTCAGGCAAGCTCAAAAGAAACTCAAGCACCCTTGAAAGTTGCTGCATTGTCCAACTCGAAGTCAACTGAAACAGGTATTTCATGAACTTCTATCTCTCTATTTAGGAATAGTTAGACTTAGGTTTGTGAATGAAAGATGTTGTATTCATAGCCCTGAAACCATACATGTGCTTAGTTTTCATTTATCTTAATCGTGCTAGGAGAATTTTGTTCATGAACTTTCTGAAAAAACTAGGTTAAGGTTTAGGGCCAGAGAAATTCTCTCTGGTCTTTGAGAGTTAGCTTAAGTTTTTTATATGATTGGATTCGTTGTTTGATGCTCTACAAGTTTCATGTTATGAGTTTTGTCAAAAAATCAAGGAATTAGGAGTTAGCAGTTGATGTATAGAACACACGTTTTTGTGAACTGAGGAAGAAGATGAAGTCTGACTGGGCTGGGCCTGGTTGTTTTTACTCCTAACACATGCATTTTCAGTTTACACCCCCCTGACCCATTTATTTGTACATTTGTCATTTTTGCATTTTTATTTCATTTTTGATTTTGATATTTTATTTCCTAACATAAAAAATACTTAAAAATCATTTTCATAAATTTTTGTATTTATTTGGAATTTATTTTAATTATTACTAGTATAAAAAATGTTTAAATGTTTTATATTCTTTTTATTAAAACATAAAAATAATGTGAGAATATGCTTATTTTCATTTATTATTTTTATTTACATTTGAAAACATTTTCTTGAATATACACATTTTTTTGTAAATAATTTATTTTATTTTTTATATACACTTAATATATTTAATATATTTAATATGTACATACATATTTTTATTAAATAATTAGGACAAAAAACACAAAAATAATACATTTTATTTTCATTATTATTTTTATACTAAAAAATACTTTTTTTTTTCTAATGCACTTATATTTTTGTACAAATTAATATATTATTGTATATAGGTAATAAATAATACAAATTATTTAAGGAATTAGGGTTTTTGCCCTAAGTAATAAAATAATTAAAATTAACTTTTTATTTTATTTACACTTCACATTTAAAAATACTTTTTACATACATAAAAATCTTTTTTGCATAACATATTTCATCTAACATTTATTTATTGTATTTAATTATTGTACATTTAAATATTGTATCTTGTACATTCAATTTGGTTGTAATAGTAATTTAGGGTTTAATTTCTTACAAAATAACCCCCAATTCAAATTTGTACTCCCTCGCACTTTTAAATGCTTTCAATTATGCCATGATTAGATCTAGGGTTTGTATGCAAAATAAAATCAACAAATAGCTTGACCTAATCCAAAGATAACAATGCATGAAAAACAAATACAATGCACACTTGCACCCCTAGGGTTACAATCCACTTGTTGCCTTCAAAAATGGGCCATGGTTGCATGTCAAGTACTTTGGCAAAACAAAAAAACAAAACAAAAGATTATAGTCCCTCGATGACGCTATCTGGGTTGCCTAAACAAAATGATCAAGTCCCTCAAGAAAATTGCCAAAAATACTTGACACAATTGTTATCATGGTCTATACGATGACCCGCGCCTGTCCCGTTAACATCCTAACGCAAGGTTGTTCATCAAATACAATGGTGAAACAACACTGTTAAAAGGGTTAAAAACATAAGAAAAATCTTTGAGTAAAATAGGGTAGACAACTCTTAGTTACTTGATCAAAACCTTGCAAAACATCCTTGCTATCTTCAAAATGCACTTCACAACACAAATTTCAAAACCCTACTTTCAAACATTGGAAAATTTTCAAAAGACAAAAAACACCTTTGTATACATTCAAACAAGAATCATTACAAAGGTTGCCACAACGATGGCCTCTTTTCAAAACACCTTTCAAAATCACACACAAAGCACCATTTCAAACAATTGAAAAGCACCATTTCAAACAATTGAAAAGCAAAGCAAGTGATCTAAGCAAGTAACTAAGAGCCCATGGATAACCATGGATAGAAAGGGTGCTAATACCTTCCCTTTCTATAATCTACTCCCCGAACCCAAGAAAACATCTCAAAGGTCTTTCCTGTGCTTTTTGACCTTTCCTTAGGATAAAATAAAAAGTCGGTGGCGACTCTTGCTAAATCGAAACATTTGCAAACACAAACGCAAAATCCCAAGTCAGTTCTCCCACTATATCACACCAGGCCTTAAGAAATTTAAATTGAGTAGCCATCTTAACCTGATTTATGTGCATTTCAAGCAAGCAGAAAATGATCCAAACACTTTCGGGAGAGTAGAGACCGAGATTTGATGGCAACAATTTATCTAAAGTTGATTCCCAACACACCTGTCAAGATGACACTCAACAAAGAAAGGAGGATCTCGCTTATTAGACCAAGTAAATCTAGCCCCTGAAGTAGGAAGATAAAGAAGATTGTTGGAGTTCGTCCATGACTTAAAGTCAGCCATGGGACTACGAGCCGGACAACAACGACCACGATGCTCATGCGCCTCAATAATGGCATTAAAATCACCAAAGAAAGACCAAGGAAGAACGTGAGAACTTTGAAGCACATCCAGATCCTGCCAGAACTTTCTACGGGAAACCAACTTAGTAGACGCATAAACAGTTGCACAAGCTAACAAAGTGTGATCCAACTCAAAGGAGAAAGCAACAAATTTGTATGAAGCAGAAATAATAGTAGGATATAAGTCATCAAGGCACAAACACCATAAAGAAGGTTGATATTTGAGGTTGAAGGCAAAGGGTTTAAAACCAAGTCTGGAAAACCAAGAAGTAGGAAAACTTTGAAAATCCAAATTTGGTGCAACTATAAAAATAAAATCCGGGTTGGAATCTTAATTATTCTCTTTAAGGCTATCCTGGATGGAGCATTAGCCACACCTCTAATATTCCAATAGAGGCTCTTTATAAAAGCCTTGATTTGAGGCCTACTTTGGACCTATTGGAGTGTTGCTTTTTCTTGACTATTTGCTTCTTATGCAGTTTTGAAACCGCTGTTGTAAAAACTCCCTCATTATCATTACCAATATCCTCCAAATTCCCCCAAGAGTTGTTAAGAAAATTCGCATTAGCCTCATCATAATGTTTGTAGTTCAATTTTTGAGTAACATTAATGAAAGATGTCCTTTGCGTTTCAGAAACCTCAGGCACCTGAGACACAAAGTTATCAGGATTTGGGGTAGCCACCACCAATTCAAGAATAGGACCATTAATTGAAACAAGGTGATTATCCACTGGAGCTGTAGCAACAGTAGGTGAGAAGGCCGCTTCAGCAACATCACCATTCAAGTTGCAATCTTTTTCACTCTCACTTTCATAATCCTCAACAACCTTTTCCACATTAGCTTACGGAACTTCAGTTGGTTTCGAAATAGCCTTAGGGACAAAGACAAGTTTGACTTTGATATTAGTGTGATTGTTATTCCTCAATTACTTGTAGTCCTTCACCTCGTGACCGGTTTTCTTGCAGTGCGAGCAAAAAATCGGGATGTTTTCATATTCAATGTCGAAGAAAAAGGCGAAACCTTCCCGTTCTACCAAAACATTGTAATTGAGAGGTTGGGATAGATCCATTTCAATCAACACACAAATGAAATGACTGAAAGTTCTATCAAACCTCGACTTTGAAGAAGTAACATCAATACAAATTGGATATCCAACACAACTTGCAATGGCAAATAAGATTCGAGGTCTCCAATACTCTTGTGAAAGCTCGAAAAAATGAACCCAAACCTGAGAAGAGGAGTTGTGATGCGTATAAGGATTAAAATCCTTAGACCATGCGAAAAGCTTCAACAAACCTGAATTCAAATTGATGGAACCAGAAGCACGAACCTTTCTCATGTCTTTCACATTAGAAAAATTCAATTCGTAGAACCCTTTGCCAAGAGATATTAAGCCTCAATTTTTTACTTCCGACCAGATATTTGAGAGCTTACCTCTGAGAGCCGCCACAATGAGCGGTGAAGAACCTCCGGGCCATAACACTTCCATGAAGATTATTTCTGCAATCGTTAAGCCTTTCCCTATACTCCTCTTCAGGAATGGTAATGGAAGGACGATCTCCTTTAATCACCGGTTGGGGTAGATGGGAGATTGAAATATCACACACCCCTTTCAAAACTTGCGCAAAGGATCTGTGAGGTTGTTGATTTGAAATCTCTGTTGCATCAAACGGTTCAGAAACATGGTTGAGAGGTTGAGGAAGAAAGGGAAGATTGGTTTATGGAAACAGGACAGTGCAATCCATTGAAAGACAGAGGAGGAGACAAAATCAAAAGAAGAATGAGAATCCATCGACACCGACGACAAGGGTTTGAGAGTTTCTTCCGTTGAGAGACATTGTTCTTTCTCGAGAACTTCTAATTGTGTATTTTAATGACACTCTAAAGTCCATAATTTGACTATCAATATTAGTGAAGTACAAATAATCCTTATTCATCTTGCAGAATGGAAAAAGAATACGTATAATTTTTCAAGGGCAAGTATGTACTATAACACAAATAAATTGTTTGCAATATAGCTAATATCTTTGATAAAACACAACGACTTTGTTCATCTCATGACTCCTTTTAAACCAATCAAAAGAGTCTTGCTCTCTTTGTACTTAATAGAGATCACAATACGAACGATTTTAAAACGTGATTAAGTTAGTTAAGCCGGTTTATTAAAAAAGAAATCGTAAAAACACGAGAAATTAGGAAAGTTGATTAATTAATCTTGTCAAATGTCAATGAAATAATGGTAATTAATCAGGCAAAACAACACAGAAGAGAACGCGTAATTTGACTGGAAATTGACAAATGAGTTTGGTATCAGAAACCCAAACCAACAACAATGAGTCCACCAACCTTCTTCTTCATTCTTCTTCCCGCGTAAAACCCTATTCTCTCTTTCCTTTTCCATGACGACGTCGTTTTTCAACGGCGAGAGAATCGTTCTTCTCTTCTTCATCTCCAGAATCCTCTACTCTCTCCCAATCTCTCTCCTCTCCCATGGCGTTTCTCTCTCCCTCATCGCCCTCGCCGCATTCCTCCTCGAGATCGCCGTCGATTCTTCCATCTCTCCCTTCCCTCTCCGCACCAGGTACATCTCTCCCTCTCTCTTCTCTCCCTCTCTCCGATTCATTTATTTATCGGTTTTCCCTTTTTCAGACCAGGTGCTTCCTCCGGAATTCTACTCGGTGCAATCACTCTTCCGTCTCTCATTCTCTCCAAATTGATACAATCATCACGTGGATTTGGATTCTCGCTCCAGCAACTTCAACCTCAAGGTTTTTCTTATTCCTTTTCAGTTTAAGGGTTTATATATATATATGTAGAATTGTGAATTGCAGTTTCGTGATGCGTATGAAATTTTAATTTATAGAGATTGAGTATCTGACATTGCAATACTGGGCAATATCTGCCAGCGTCTTCTCTGTGCTTTTGTTCCTCGCGTTGAATCTAAGACGGACTCATTGGGGTTTAAGGTTTAGCTTCTGTTTAATTTTCATTCAAGCTGTGCTATGTGTTGTAGCGCTTTTGACTACTTCTCAAATTGGTAAGTTTTTGTTGGGTTGTTTTTTCGAATGTTGAATTGTATAGTTGAGGAATCTGTATTCTGATTAAAGTGATGTTGTTTGTTTATTCTTAGGGTTGCATCCTGTACTGAAGCTATCGTGGGTGTTTTTTCATGGATTGGCGTCTGTAAAGCTAATTCAGCATTTCATGAGAACTTTTCCGTCGTGTGCTTCCATTGGTAGGTCTTTCTTATACACCTGTTATTATTCTGCGTGTTTTGGATTTTACTATCATCACAACTGATATGGGACTAAAATTTAAAAAAGAAGGGTAGAAGTATGGTGTTTGTGATTTCAAGTTACAAGCAGACGCTTGACGTTAGGAATTTATCAATCAGCCATGGAAAGTGCACTTCCTATTTTACCTATCTTGCCTCATGTAGTTCTGCCATGTCAATTAAAATCGGCAAATCTGTTTAGAAAGAGTGGGTATGGAAGTATCAACATGCACTATGGGAAAATTAACCTTTCCCAGGTGAGAGAACCCTTGAGGGCAGCAAATTTTAGTGTGAAAATCCCCTCAATATGACAGGTAAAAGTTACTGAACCTAGTTAAGAGAAAATTCACTGTAAAATATAATGAGTACAATACAGTATTCTCCAATCAAAAAGGATAATACAAATAGCTCCTATTCACTGCCAACAGAGTAGAAATCCCTAAAGACAGTAGTCAACAAAAATAATCCACAAGTGCAATAGTAAGAAAAAAGATCCAACCATACAGATCTAAATCCCACAGTTTCAAGCAAGATTATCAACTAAAATTTACTGAAAACAGAGCATAAGCAAGTAGCTAAAAGTGAGTCAATGTTTTCCCGTCTCATTCTTCCCTGGTTGACACCAAGAAGGAAAATGTAACCGAGTTTTCGAACAACTCTTTCTGTCTCTCTTCTACCATGTCACACTTTCTCCCTTTTCCCATTCTTTCCTTTTTTTTTGTAATTTCAAAATTATTGGCCATATTCTCTGTTTAAGGCCACATACAAAAGATTAAGCTCTTTCTTGGACCCTGCCTTGGTGGGAGCTTTCTAGCACCATCCGTGAAGAAGACCCAACCGAACAAAATCATTATTATATATTAACATGGTTTCTTTGAATTGTTGATTTTTGTTTTTGTCCTTTTGTCAGTAGCTGTATTCATTTTTTACCCAGAAATATTGAAAATATTGCATTACTGCCATTAGACAAGCATATCTTAGAATAATTATATACTTGATTAGGGGTGTTTAATTTGTCAGCTCTTTTATTGATCATGGGTTCTCACTGATTTTAGGGGAAGCGTTTTTGGTGACAGCTGGTATCGTTCTCTATTTTGGAGATATGCTGCTGCTTACTATAAAAAAGGTTAGTGACTTTTAACTAAATTTTAGATAAATAGTGTGCATGTATATATATTTATATGTTATTGGTGATTAAAATGTTTAAACAGCTATGTGGACTATTGGTGTCATCAGAGTTGGATACTGCAGATGAAATAAAACGAAGTGAGATAAATATTATAATTCAGGTATTGGTCCTTACCTTATGATTTTATGATGATACTGTATAACTAGATCAGCTAAAATCATCTACTGCTTCTACAGGGGCTTGTCCTTGGGCTTCTGCTATATCCAATAGCTTTGAAATATATTCTCCAAATATGGGAGTGGTTAATGAATACAATTTATTCTGAACAAAAAAGATACTATGAGATTGGGAGATCCCTCATATTTATTGTTTCCCTTGGACTTGCCCTCATTGTGTTTGTACCATTATGGATGCAGTTCGTACAGGAGTTTGACATGCATCCCTTTTTCTGGTATGACATCAATATTTGATACTTTTTGTTAGCTGCCAGTTACTGATGTTTTCAGATATGATCTAAAATACTATGGAAGTGGTAATAATAGGATGCTTGGAAAGTAGTTTTTTTGACTATGAGTTGAGCAGGATCTAATATATTTCGTGCTGGCAGCTCTGATACATACGTGTTATATTATAAGGCAACACAAGCTGTTGAATACACCCGAAACTGTGGCATGCAGAACATGTTCAGTGTAACATCTGATTCCACTGTATTCACACACCTAATATAGACTAGTTTGAAAAGATATGAATGTAAGAATTTTAATAAAGTCTGAACATAATTCTCCAAATACGGTTGGTTTTTAAAAAAAAAACTATAGAAGCCAATATAATGGTTTTTATGTTGGCTGCACATGCAGCCCGAGCTTATCCCTATCATGAATCCATAGAGAGAAATAGTAATAGAAGAAACTGAGACTTATTCAACTAGGAGCCCCAGATAGATAAGTTGTTAAGCCATGATGATAGTTGTTGTTAAGCCACGATGATAGTCTCGTGTTCAAATAATTTTTGGTAAACATAAAACCACTGTTATTTTTTACTTTATCATTATCATTATGCCAGCTGTTTTGTTAGATAACTATCTTTTAATTTTTTTGAAACATCTCATTGCAGGGTGCTTTCCTTTGTTTTCTCAGAGCCATCCAAAAGACTGTCGTTGTGTATCTATTGGATGTGTATAATTTCTGTTTCTGTTTTGCGATTCTATACCATCTCTAAGAATAGTAAGATTGAGAGGATTCTTTTGCGGAAATACTACCATCTGATAGCTGTCTTGATGTTTTCACCTGCCCTTATCTTTCAGGTAGTTTGCGAGACTACATGATTGTTTGTTATCTAGTGGTATTGAGTGGATTCTCCCACTTGGTACCCATTATCCATTTTCTTTTTCCATTAAATTCCAGTGCCTTGTGTTTTATTGTAATTGAAAGCAGGGAAAAGTGTATGAACTCTCCCTTGAATTTATCTTATTTTGAGTAGCTGTCATTAACTTTCAAATCATGATGAAAGGCCCTTTAGTATAAATTTCTGAAACTTTTAAAAATAGACCCTTACATATTTAAGTTAGTGAAAAACTATTCATCATAATCCTTCTACTTTATGTTTTGTTTAATGCAAATGACAATGTATAATCTGTCATTATTTTTTGAAAATATTTTGAAAAATTCCTTACTTTATTTTTAAAATTATTGCATGGTTTCTACTTTTGCAATTAAAAATAAATAATTAGTTTTTTATCAATCAAATGGTTTAGGAAAATGAGAGATTGTTGTAAGTATTAATTGGCACATGCAAGTCTTGTGATAGCTGATTAATTATTATTATTATTATTATTATTATTATTATTATTTTTATTATTATTATTATTATTATTATTATTATTATTATTATTTTTACAAATTCTATTTAAAAGTTAGTTTCCATTTTATGGTTAAGTAAAATATAAGTAAAAAGAATAATCGAGCCATATGGTAGGTGTAAAGCAAAAACATAAATATTTTATTTTTCCTTTACACCAGCATTATAGAGGGCATTACTTGTGCGAATATGTTTTATATTGATCAATTGTGCTAATGTATGTCAGATATAATGGCCACTTTTTTTTTTAAATTGTTTCAGCCAAAATTTCTCGATCTAGCTTTTGGAGCGGCATTGGCGGTTTTCTTAATATTAGAAATCATTCGAGTAAGTATCTTGAAATGCATTCAGCTTAGTGTTGGTGAGATCATACGTTAAAAGGGTGATGTGTGTTTCCTTGTTTCTTGTTGATATTGTCAATAACAATCCATAAGGAATCAATATTTAAATTCATTATACTTCAGTTTGGAAAACTGCTATCAGATGTATCTTTCTTTATGCTGCCCAAACAGTTAATTTGAGTGGGTCCTGTGAGATGTATTTTGCAACAGTCTGTGTGTGATAACAAAAGGAAAGGGGATAAAGTATGTAACTGAGGCACATTGCAATCTGCTAGAACAATTTCCGTAAAGATATGTCAATAGATTTCTGATTTCATGAAAATTTGTTTGAATTGTTTAAAAATTATGATTATGTGAATTGATCATTTAAACCCAACAATATGAGTGTTGTGCAATGATATCTATTATCAATACAATACTACATGTAAGTCGTATTTCGTATTGCAACCATTGGATGCTAGTCATGAAGATGCTTAATTTATGATGAGTTGAAAATCAACTTCACAAGCCGAATCGTTGTCTTCTAAAAGTTAAAATTTCTAATGTTACCGCACAAAAGTTCAAATGATTAAGAGCAGGCTGATTGGTATTCATATGTTTTCTTGGTTGCATTTTCATTAACACTGTCTTACTTAGGTATGGAGAATCTGGCCCTTTGGACAACCAATAAATCAATTCATGAATGCATTCACCGATCACCGTGACTCTGATCTTCTCATTGTCAGGTATTCTGCCCTTTTCACTAAAGCCCATATTAGCGTCTTTGATACACCGCAGCATTTAGTTCTCTTTCATGACAAAATTTCCGTTTGTCCAGCCACTTCTCTCTCTTGCTTGGATGTGCTCTTCCTATTTGGTTGTCTTCTGGGTACAATGACCGACCTCTTGCCCCTTTTGCGGGAATTTTGAGCCTAGGAATTGGAGATACAATGGTAAGTCTCATTTTGCAAAATCTGCAAGAACCTGAATCAATCTAGGCTGTGACAATTTTGGAGAAAGTAATTTACTCCCTTTTTGCGGGATTTTTGGGGAATCAATATGATTTTTCATGAATACTAATGTATGGTAATTTTTCTGTGAGTTTAGACTACTTTAATTGGCAATGAACAGTTCCATTGGAGAAGAAAATTGATTAATTTCTAACAGGGCTGTATTGAAAAATGAGCATGTATAGGTAGCATTTTGTCTTAGGTGGTGAAGTCAAAGACTAATTAAAACATGTTACCTAGGCTCAAAGGAGTTAAAAGGAGTTTCTGATTAATGGTTGCTTATCTCCGTGGTTGATAGTAATTGATTCTTTATTTTTTGTTTAGGCATCAATGGTTGGGTACAAGTATGGTGTTTTGCGGTGGAGTAAAACTGGCAGTAAGTATTTTCATAAATAATTGTTTTTATCAGTGTTTTCTGTTGCATCATGTGAATGTATAGCTTTCTCATTTTTCCAGAGAAAACAGTTGAAGGTACTGCAGCTGGTATAACGTCTGTACTAGCTGCTTGCTCTTTACTCCTTCCACTCTTAGCATCAGCTGGATACATTTTCACTCAGGTAAAGGATTTGATTAAATGTGGATGTTAGCAAACTCATTATTAGTAATAAAGTTGATTTTGTTTTTTGGTGTTGATATCTTAGTTCAGTACTTCAGGTCTTCTGTCACTCTTTGCATAAAACAAGTCCCACGTTATTCTTGTTCCTCTTATCCCTGTTTCATATAAGCACCAAAGCTTTATACAGTTATTTTTGTTACCACTGCCATCAAACAATTTTTTTTTGCACCAATAAGTTAAGAATCTAGGGATAAGCACTGCCCACTTTGATTCATGCATACAAGCATCTGCTGCTGCACGAAGAGATAGGTCAGACTTTAGGTTCCATGAATTGTATGTCTTACGGGAGTACTTGCCCTCTTTTCCCCCAATTTTCATCTTCTCTCTCATGTGCAAACCGGGCCTGCTTAAGGGACACCTTTATGCTTCATTTCAATCTCTCCTATATCCCGTCTGAGGAGGGGAGAGAAAGGAATGGAAAAAGTAACCCTATAGTAATACTGCCAAGTTGTATACTCCATGGATAGTAAGACGCAGTTTCATCTTAGCGTCCCTTTTAATAAGGAGGAAGTACAAAAATTACCATTTCTTTTTGATAAAATGAAATGGTCAAAGCCTGCTAGTATTCTAGAATGTTTGTTCCTTAGACTATTGAGTTTTTCTTTGACATCTTTGTAAACACCTTTTTGCAGCATTGGTTCTCTCTACTTCTAGCCGTGACTGCAAGTGGCTTGTTGGAAGCCTACACCGCGCAACTTGACAATGCCTTCATACCACTTTTTTTCTATAGTCTTCTCTGTTTGTAGGAATAGCTTCTCACTAAAGCAAGTGTCCTTGAAGAGCAATGACTGATTTCTTCAAATGTGCTTCAGTGTTTTGGCAGAAAAGGTTAGATAATTATTAACCTATGTGATGACGATTCATGACAGTTAGGTTTGGTGTACATAGTTAGGATTGTATCTTTATACAGAAGTGATAGGAATACAGGTGATTTGACCCTTTCTTTTAAAGGGTTACCTAACAAATAGCTTACATATTCAGGATAGGAGGGACAATTTTCCATTTTTTATGAAACAGTAGTGCACTTGGTCTAAAGGAATTTTTATTGTCTTCTATATTCACACGTATAACACTTTTCGTTTTTTAAGGTTATGTTGTATATCGGCAATTGGTAGATTAAATTTTTTTAAATCATGTAAGAAATATTCATATACAATGCACTTGTTCTCAAGGAATTTTGTCTGCAATTTTTACACTTATACTTCTCAGTTTTTAATGTCTCAAGCCTTTGGCCCCCATGGATGCTTTACTCACACCATATTAATTTTTCAACATTCTGATAGGACACCTGGACACTTAAACATATTCTAGAAGATTGTGGAATAAATGAATATAAGTTAGTTAAGATATTCTCTGATTATAGGAAATTTCTGTTATAAAAGAGAGGGAAGGGTATATTTAATTCAAAAATGTTGTTAGAAGAGTTACACTTACACATAGCTCTGGTTAAAGAGTTCATAGAACTCTCTGGTTTATGCATTTCATCCCTTTTTTCCACCATTGTTTGTAATAGCTTGAGGCTAACCTTTTCTAGTTAATAAAATTCATTTCATCACCTTAAACTTCAGAGTCCTAACATTCCCACATCATGTTAGTCAAGAAACTACTGAAATTGTCTTGATAAACTCTAACAATAGTTACCCTCTAAGTTCCAACGCTTCAGAAGAGTGTTTCTAACCCTGATAAATCAACATTTCATATATATATTTGTGTAAGTAACTTGGAGCAATTATTTTGTGGACTGGGATAATTGAGTGGTTCAGGCATTGTGATGACTAATTATACTGAATTCTCTCGACTTTCATCAAAATATGGACAATTACAATTGTTCTCTCAAGTGATAACCTCAACAATTTGATTCCGTGAACTATATATAGTTGCACAATAGTATCGGGCTGCTTCTGCCAAGGTTCACCAAGCAATAATGATCCTTAGCTTCTACTTGTAAAAATAGGTAGTAGTAATAAACATTAAAGTTATTATTGTATCGTGTCTTTAAAGATGGTTATCTATTGACATGTGATGTGACCAAAGCAAAATATCTAGCGCTGCATTGTTTGTCCAACACCAACAGTAGCTTCAGCTCATGCGTGACGCAACTTTGTAGTTATTGGCTTCAAAATTGAGACGTTTTTGTTTGCTGATGTATATATGACCTTGAGAGCTGAGTGAGAGGAATTAGTTAAGTGTAATTGCTGAACGCGGGACATTCAACTCATGTACCCGAATGAAAGACGCGTTATGTTGTGGGGTACTGTGATGCGTTTTAAAGACTAAAAAACCATGTTCAATCACTTTGGACCATGAAAGTTCTTATGTGCCAGGACAAAAAAGTACCTTTGTAAATTATTTCGAATAGATTGGTCGAGCTATTACTTGTTCCTCTTTCCAATTATTTTTCTATTGATATTTTAGCATTTTTCATGTTTTTAATTCACGGTTGTCACCCGTCTGAAAATCAAGTTTCACTTTAAAAATCAGAATTTTAGTTACCGTTGTCACCCCCTCTCCATCTCTTTCCACCTTGTATTTTTATTTATTTTTATGAAGAAAAAAAAACCAAGGGCTACGATTTACTAATGGACCCATCCAATGGCACTGTAGTGGTGCACATAGTGATTACGGGGGATTCTGGTTCTTAAAAATCACGTTTATTATTAAGACAACATCAAATTTATTTGAGAATATTTGGTTTGGTTCTACAATGATGGTGAAATAATTTGGTAAAAATAATTCTAATTAAAAGTGAATCGAAGATAAACTAACTTATATTTGAATATCTTCATGCTAAAGTGTGTTGAATGTTAAATTTAAGTGTAAAAATCATTTAAAGTTAAAGTTTTTAAATTTTAGCATTATGTATACATAGAATCAATAATAAAGACAATCAATTATATTTTTTAAAAAATAAACATGTCCAAGTTAATTATACTCATCTAAAATTAATTCTATTTTTTTTAAAGTGTCAAAGGCAAATGAGAAAAAAATTTCAACCTCACCACTAAGCTAGTTAAAATAGAAATCAAACATACACTTGAGAATGTCAAAATTAAATTTATATTTACTTAAAAATTAGTTAAACATTAAATTTTATTATAAGATTTATGTTTAAATTCAAAAGTTAAAATTTTCTTATTTCAAGTTAAAATTTGTTACAAAGACGACATGTCAATCAATTTTGCTCAATATTTTAAGAAGCAAAAGTTGTGATGAGAAGAAGAGTTTGGCAAGAGAACATAGGAATGGACACATAGAGACATACACGTTTAATAAGAGAGTTGGAAGGCGATATGACTAGACGATACTCAAAAAGAGACGTTTCGTAGTATGATAACTCCTACACACTGCACCCACATGCTTTGGTTTCGTTCACCCCCTTTATCTTTTTTATTTTATTCTATAAATCTTATTATTTCCGTCCATTTTTATAAGCTATTTTTGCTATTTTCATATACATTAAAAAGTCTGCTATTAAATGAGTTCAGTTGCTAACTATAAAAATATTTACATTTAATTATAATTTTGATCACTATTTTATTTAGTTCACAAAATTAGAGTTTTAGTTTTATTCTATTATTTTTTATTTATAATTAATAATGTATCCTATTTTAAAATAATGCGTTTTATAAAACATGACAAACTATCATGTAGAAATATTGATTAAATTTAAAAAACAAAAATAAAAATTACATGTTAAAATAATTTAGTTCAAAAGTTTTTTTTAATATATACTTTTTAAAATTTTTTTTATTTAAAATGAAATTTTTATTTATTTTCAATGCAAAAATGTGAATAAAAAATAAAATCTGTTTAAATTTAAAATAATGAAACTAATTCATATATGAAAGATAAATAAAAAGTTAAAAGTTAATTTAACCAAATATTTAGTTGTAGAAAAACACGAATTTAAATATTAACACTATTTATTTTCTCTTTAGAACCTTTTAAAAGATGAAAATTTTAAATGTTTTAAAAGAAATAGTAAGATTCCAATTAAATCAATACTACAATATAATAATATATTTTATTTATTTATTTTTGCATCATTGATAAGTGTTAATTAAATTAAATGATGTACACTACTTATTTAAAGATCAATCTTCAATGACAATATTTAGTTATATTTATGTATTAATGAAAATAAATATTAATATTTAGAAATTTGAAAAAATATTACAACTTTTTATCATAAAAATTATAATAAAGAGAAAAAAAGTGAGGTATGTCCTAGTAGAATTAGATGACTCTATCATATTAGTAGATAGTTTAATCTCCAATGACTTTTATTTATATTTTTTTCATAATATTAACGTGGTACCTATAAATCAACATTTAAAAAAAGATATATTAGTATAAATTATTTATGTTCTAATATATATTAAGATAATGAGTTTTACCATATAAGTTTTAAAATTATAAAATCTTTATTAACCAAGTTGTCGGTACAACAATTCAACACTTTGAATTATATTTATCTTTCTATTTAAAAGAAGAAAATGTGCAAAACTATATATTTAAAAAGAGCTTACCTTATGATTCAGAAAAAAAATAGAGTTTGTCTTAAAAAATAAATAAATACAAACAAGTCAAATTATATTGAAACGTCTAATCTAACAAAAATGTACAAATAAGGGACGTGGAACCAAAAGTATACAACAAAAATGTGGATTAATGACCGACAACAACCAAACATGTCTCAAAATAACAAAAAAAAATAGAAAACTTGGGTTTTGTTTGAAAAGGTTTTAGTTTTTGGTTTTTAAAAACAATTTTGTTAATTAACTTTAAAAAATAATATATATATATATATATATATATATATATATATATATATATATATATATATATATATATATATATATATATATATATATAGCTCTAACACTGAACCAAAATCTAACAAATTGTTCTAGACAAAATTCATTTACAAACAATTGCACATTCATTGTCATGACCAAGTTCAGTGTGAGAAGTACTAGTAGTAACCAAAAGAAGAGTAAAGGTAGCATGGTGAAGCTCATTGAGAAGCTACAAAAGAGGCTATTGCTAGTGAGAAACAAATCATCACCAACCTATGTGCCAGAGGATGTAAAAGTAGGACATTTTGCTGTTATAGCTGAAGGTATGAAAGAACATGAATCAGAGAGGTTTGTGCTTCCATTGAGTTGTTTAACAAATCCAATATTTGTGAGGCTATTGGAGCAAGCAGAAGAAGAGTATGGTTTTGATCATGAAGGTGCACTAACCATTCCTTGTAAGCCTAGTGAGCTTCACAAGATGTTGCAACAATGGCATCATGAGGAGGAAGGTGCTACAACATGGAATTCTTGCAATAATTCCATGGTTTTTCAGAACTATTGATAATTAATTAATCAATGAGATGCATATATGTTAGGTTTATATTGAAGTGAGATTAAGTTATTTTTGTTTAATCCATATGAAATACATAGTACTGACAAGAATCAGTGTCTATCTTTGTATATGGCTTGGTGTATGTTGCTCGAAGTGTAAATAGATGATAATGAATTGCACTTTTTGGCCTATCTCTTTCCATCTATACGATCGAAAAACTAAGCAAGTTGTGTTTGCTACTACCATATGAACTTTATAATTAGAAGATTATTGTTAAAAAATAGTTAGCATGATGGAATTTGTACGGTAGATAATTTTTTTTATATAAGCAAAAATGTATTAATAAGGAGTATAAGGGGTATTCAACCCCCTTAATACAAAAGGAGATTAAAAATGGGGAAGTCACACTGAAAAATAAAGCCAACCAACAAAAAACCAAAAACTTTAAGTTAAACAACTAAAACCAAACTCTAGATTCACAGACCACTCAGCACGAGAAGGAAACATATCAAATTGGTATTTTGCTTGGATCCACTCTCACGATCTCCAACATTTATCACTTTTGTAAATTAACTCCTTCAAAGATGATGGAATTTCTGCAAATCCAAATATTCCAAATAAATATCTCCAAAAAAAAAGACATGACACTTCCTATTATATTTCAAACCAAAACAAGAAGAAAATTGAGAAAAATGAGATGAAAGAGGGTTTTTCTCAGGGATATAAATGAGACTAAGTGTTAGCTAGTAATTTTCGATTAAGGAAAATGATTACAGGTCAAAGGTTGCTATCATAAGGAGCAGCGTCGACGCCATCATCAGTTGGATAAGAGATATTGATACAAGTGGTTTAGAGAGATTTCAGGGACTTAGTAAAATTGGGTGTTGAGATTTAAGTCTGTCGACCACTGTCGAAAGCAGAAGCAGTTAATAGAGGAGCAGGTACTCTTGATGGTTGTCAACAGAACATGAGAAGTTTTGAAGACAGTTCCACACGAACCCAGAACGTGTTAGTTTAGTAATTGGTGAACGGTTATTTCGTTTATCTATTTAAGCAAGTTTTTAGATTCACTTTATAGGTCAGATTTCACTACATTTAAAGAATCGCTTAAAGTATCCGCATTAAAGAGAGAAATGAGTTCAAGTTTGAAATGTATGCATGCTTCCATATTTAATTTAATACAAATTTACATTATTGTTTTCTTTGAAAGCTTTGTTTCGTTCTTTTGTTCTTGTCTTGCAATCGTTGTCTTTTATTCATTACACTTACGATTCGTTTCAAACCAGTACAAACACTAAATTCATACCAAACTTAACACTAAGTTCAGAACTTCTGTAGTTGGTCCTGCAAGTAACCTTTAATTAAGAGGCTAGAGATTATTTTCCAGAAACACCTGCAAATAAATTGGCACACCCGATGAGACTCGTTGTGTTAAGTTGTCTTTATTTTGCATGTTGTTTTCCTCAACTTCAACACTGGGAGTTTATGATTTTAAGAAGTGGTAGGAAAATGGTGGATCCAAAAAATACTGATTCTAGTGGGCACGCACCCCCACGAGGGAGCACAGTTGCTTCTCAATCCTCCGACATTAGTGTGTTCACGTCAAGTACAATGGCTATTGTGTCGAATTCCCAGAGTGGTTTTACATTTTCACCGAATCAACCCGATACTCCAAGGCCACATGGGATGAGTGCTTCTGGGCCATATATGCCTAGTTTTACTAGACCCATGTTTGGTGGAGAAAGAATCTATGGAATGCCAACATCGTTGATGGCAAGTTTGACATTTTCTGAAAAACACGGTGTCAACGTTTTCACCGTACCATTGGTCAGGACCTATAGGGAATCAATTCAATCATCCGACTGACTTGGGATTTTCGTCCCACTCAATGCCCACTTTCACAACAAGTTATGCCGCTATTATGAGGCAGCAGATGGATAAAAGTAATCACGAAATAATCCATATGCTTACGCAGCAGATGAATACCATACTCAGACCTTTAATATAGAGTTCGACTCAGAGTTACCAGACATTGGCAACTGAAATAACTCATATTGGGGACTTTCTTGGCGCTCCCCGAGCACCAGTATGACATGGTGGGTAACCCCAACAAGAAACATATGTTTGATCAGAAGTGGTCGAAGAGACTATCGACCAAGAGATGGAAATTCCTGAAGGAGTTGAAGAAATCCCCAGGGTAGTCAAGTGTCCTCCCGTCGTTGTGGTTAATAGGAACTAGAATGCTGACCACGTGGTTAGGTAAGTTCGACAAGACACGTTAGCCAGGGAATAAAACCTAGAGGCTATTGTCGAACGTCTTATGATACATAATGGTATGAGTACTGGTTGCCACTGACCCACTTATTCGTCACCATTACCAGATTTTGTTTTGAAAACAGAATTACCTAGGGGTTGGAAAGTCCCATAGTTTACTAAATTTGTTGGTGACGCTGATGAGTCAATAGTCGAACACGTCGCTAGGTAACAAACTGAAGCCGATGATATTGTAAATAATGAGGATTTGGAAATAAAATATTTTCCAAATTCCCTTTCAAATAATGCATTTACCTGGTTCACAACGCTCCCTCCACATTTAGTTTATACTTGGACTCAGATTGAAAGATTGTTCCATGAGCAGTTTTATATGGGACAATCGAAACTAAGCCTCACAGAATTGGATGGTGTAAAGTGAAAAGCTTATGAGTCAATTGATATTTATCTTAATAGGTTTAGGTTACTTAAGTCTAGATGTTTTATGCAAGTCCCTGAGCATGAGCTAGTCGAAAGGGATGCAACATGTCCAGACTATTCTATTAGAAAGAAGTTAGATACCCAATATCTCAAGGATATGGCGCAATTAGCAAATAGAGTGCACCAAATTGAGCGTTTGAAGCTGAAAAAACCAAGAGTAGTAAATATCATAAGAAATGTAAAGTTGCTTACGAAGCGGCTGATGAGTGTTTTTTAGACGAATTTGTCGAAGAAACTGAGATGAATGTGGCTGAACTCGAGCTGAGACCCACTTATGCTTGTAAGCCTTTGAGGCCCTCAAACAGGAAGAATCTCGTCAAAATTGAGAGGAATGGCAAAGCCATCACAAAAACTTACACTTTCGATATAACTAAGTGTGATGAGATATTTGATTTGTTAGTAACTGATGGTCAAATTATTGCGCCTCAGGGCCTGAAGAATCCTCCTTTAGAGCAAAAGAAAAAAAGGGGATTATGTAAATTTCATAATTTTCTTGGTCATAAAACATCTCAATGTGCCATTTTCAGGGATTTAGTACAAAAGGTGTTGAAAGAAGGCATACTTTAATTTGGAGAGAAGCCGAAGATGCAGGTTGACACTAATCCTTTGAAGGTCTAAGAAGCTTTATATGCTGAGCCTTTGGATTACATGATGGTCGAAGTTATTGAAAGCTTCGATACTGAGGTTATAATGGTCGAAACTACTGAGGGTTTCAGCATGAAAGTCGAGGATGAGCTCCGAGTAGTATATCCTCAAGCTGATGAAGATTTGGATGATTTTAAAGAAAAATGCAAGGTTAGAGGATCATAAGCCAAGCTGTTCCCAAGATGCAATGCAATGTATGACGAAAAATCGGCTAAAAAATATGAGAATGCTAAGCAAGATCTTAAGGAAGAAGAGCCTAAAGTCCCAAGGTTTATGTTCAACAAAAGGGGGATCCCTGTATGAAATGAAGAATACTGAAGGTTATTCCAGCAACCTCGATCAAAAATTTTCCGTCCTCTGTTGGACACCCCAAAAGAAAAATGGGCGGTACATGTGAATCAAAAAGGGGAAAAAGGCCAAAGTGAAGAGCAATTGATCAAGAGGTTGAAGCTCAAGAAAAGAAGGCTGAATCCAAAGGATATCAGGTTTCTTCTAACTATAAAGGGAAAAACCCGATGACTAGAATGCAATGGAGGCGTTACCATAGAAATAAGAAGGATATAAAAGAAGCCTCAACATAATAGTTGAATCCCGTTAAGATTCCTAAAAAGGTGGAAACTGTGAAGCTTTCCGAAGATATGAAGTATGTGGAAGCCATGAAACCTGCGGAAGCTCCGATTCAGAAAATGTATTACCCAAAGGGGAGGCTAAGTGATAAAGAGAAGGTCATAGCAAATCAGAGATTGACAATGAGAGTAGCACCTCTAGGAAATAGGGAGGTAGTGGCAACACAAAGTGCAAAATATACTCCCATATTTGAAGATGAAAAGGAAGATGAATATGAGCCTTTGACTGAAGATGAGGGAGATGAATATGATCCTCTATTTGAAGATGAAATGGTTGAAAATTACTATGGTGAAGATTTCATCATTAACTATGGAATTGTGTCGGTATTACCTGCAGAGTACGACAAAGTGTTAGAGGTATATGAAAATGAAGAAGATTATGTTCCAGATGAAGCAGCTGATGAAAAACCATCATGTTACTATGTGATGAATAATGGTGTGGTGGAGGAACATAAAGATGTATTTGAAAAACCAAGCTCAGGAATGTTGTATCACCTCAAACCTTTATTCATTAGGGCAAAAGTGGATTGTATACCAGTGAATAAGGTGTTTGCCGATTTGGGGGGGGGGGGGGGAACTGTGAATTTGATTCCCCAAGCTTTGTTCAAGAAAATAGGGAAGTGTGGAACAGATCTTTGACCATATAACATGGTTTTATCCAACTATGAGGGAAAAACCAATAGCATACTAGACATAATCCAAGTCGAATTGGCTGTCGGTACAACCACAAGATCAACACTGTTCATGGTGATTAATTCCAAGGCAAACTTCAATCTATTGCTAGGACGTGAATGGATTCTTAGGATAGGTGCAGTACCATCGACCATACACAAAAGGATATCCATTTGGAGAAAAGATGGCATCGTCAAAAACATTGAAGCAAACCATAGTTATTACTAAATTGATGATAACAAAGGTGGAAAGAAGTCTTTAGACCAACACTTGGAAAATGTGGCACCTTGTGTTGCTGAAGTTTACACTCCTAAA